TTACAACAACTATTTCTTCATTATTCTTATTCTACGCTATAATAGATTTTCAAGCTTCTACTTTCATAGTAATAGGATTTATTATTATTATTATTATTATTATTATTATTATGAATTATTGCCAATTTCTCGTTGTTAAATATTTAGCTGATAACCGCAGTGAATGGTGTATTAACAAAATGGGTGATGATGAATGAAAACTGAAGGTGTCAGGAATCTTACAGGAGGTTAGTATTAAAGTTTATGGATTACATAAAATGATGAATCTATGGCAATGATAGATTAGTTTTGTTTGTCATTGCTGAAGTTTGGGAGGGTGTCGACCCGGAAGAACGATATTGTTAGGAAAAAATAATATCCTTCAGATGTCGAGGGTTTGCTCCTCCTGGTTATGCATGGCATTCAGCTAAAATAATTATGCCTAAATTATAATTATGGATTATGCACATGCAAATGAAAATTATAATTATTAAATCTTGTGATCACTAACTTCATATACCGGTATATGTTGTTGTATTGGCCATAGATGGAGATTGGATACAGATGCGTAATGGGATTAAATGCTATAAAGGTGTTTAACATGGTACAGTACTCGCAATCTAATTACCAAAATTTCTTAATGAGATGCAACTTTACTTAACCAAATATACAGGATAGGGAATCAAATCCTGATCGGGCGAGAGAGAAAATAGAACATAATATTAATTTCTTAAAGGAAAATCTTAAGTTAGATGCTAGGCAGTTTGGTTTTTGTAATTGTCCACAACCATTGTAGCTAATAAAGTGGGTTTATGTTTAGCATCCTATATTAGAAGTGGACGAGTATCTCTGCGATGCTCTTGGGAAAAAGATAAATGCCATCGACCCTTCAGGCCTTTCGTGGCAAGACCCAGAAGCAAATATGGTCTTATGCGATAAATCAAAGATCATAGAAAATTTAGGAGACAGACAGAAGCGGGTCTTTATGGTAAGAAACAATTGTATTTAAGTGAGCTAGTCCTCACATACATTTTTACTATATATTTATTATTAGCAACCACGCGAGAACATGAGATGTACCCTACCCGATTCCAGTTGTATCTAAGTGTGATATATTCGTGGAAAATTTTAAGAAATCGGGGGTTCCAAGAGAGATGAGGAACATTCCCCACAATAATAAATGGAAAGATAGCAATTCGGTTCTTGTAAAAGTAGTAGACCGTATTTTAGCTGTACTGTAAGTACTTCTCTGGGATTTTTCTACGTCCATCTTCACAATCATAATAACCTTTCTGATATCGGATATTAATTAGTGGTGAGATTTGGAATAACCCGGCATTTGCAACAAGAGCGTCTTGTGATGAACAAAGTGAGGGGATGTATATTACAGATGTTGTTGTTCCCTTGCTCCAAGTGAGTCTGATGGATCTTCCGAATGGTTATATATGCTTGAGCACGTGAGTAGATAAGTAACAAGTTGAGTATTTTTGCTTTTATTATTAAAATATGTACACCTCTGTATTCAGAGCGGAATGTCAGAGTATAGCTAGCAAGGTTCGGAAAAATTTTGGAACGAAAGATAGGCGAAGGAGTAAGAAGCCTGATATTATGGCAATAGAGAAATATAAAGAAGGTGATTGAGCTTTTATATGCTGAGAGTTCACATATCATCTGTAGTAATACAAAAAAAGGGATGATGATGTAAAATTGTGGAGGGAAATTTTGGACAGTGTTAATCTTGTAAATTCCATATGTAGGCAAACTAGCAATCAATTTGGTATTGTTTGGATACAAGTGGCTGGCGAGAATCTATTTCTCGATGTTATAATAAATGGTTCATGCGGGATTCCGAGACTTTTTCATCTAGAGCAAGCGGAAATACCTCTGACTTTAGATAGGGCACGGCATGTAAAATTTCTTATACGCTTATTGCTAACTTTGAGGAACATCCTAATTGTAAACAAATCTTTGCTCATGCATGCGTTGGAACAAGCTATCTCACTACCACCTCGAAACTTTCGCCCAATCCCCACCATTTCATTACCAACACATAAATAAATATTAAGGTAACATTTTATATACTTTCATTCTGTGTTTTATTTTTTTTTATATATCAATAAGGTGGTCAAGATTACTTATATTCAATGTAATCAACGAAAAAATAGGCTAATAAATAATACGTACGGATTATGTCTGACAATTTCCCCACTACGTGTTGAGAATATGTTAATCCCCCCAAAGTGATGTGCTACATGCGAATTTTTTATATTAAAAATGAATTTTGAAATCTGTATTGCAGATCCTTTATCACGTGATACTAATAAGAGAATGCAACGTGACAAACCTATTTTAAAACATGTGACTGTAAAAATTTTATTCATTTTTGATTGTGAATTTTTTCCCAAATCTGTCGCCGTGGCGCAGAAAGTTGTAGGGACTAGTACTAGATGTCCTGCACCATATTCGTTTTATTCATTTTATTCGTTTTATTATTCATTTTATTCGTTTTATTATTCGTTTTATTCATTTTATTCGTTTTATTATTCGTTTTATTCGTTTTATTATTCGTTTTATTCGTTTTATTATTAGTTTTATTAGTTTTATTCGTTTTATTATTGGTTTTATTCATTTTATTCGTTTTATTATTGGTTTTATTCATTTTATTCGTTTTATTATTTGTTTTATTCGTTTTATTCGTTTTATTATTCGTTTTATTCGTTTTATTCGTTTTATTATTCGTTTTATTCGTTTTATTATTCGTTTTATTCGTTTTATTCGTTTTATTATTCGTTTTATTCGTTTTATTCGTTTTATTCGTTTCATTATTCGTTTTGTTCGTTTTGTTTTGCTTTATTCAAATTATTATTACTCAAATTATTTGTTTATTCAAGTAAACCTTATTTGAATAGAAACCCTAACTGCTACTCAAGATATGATATAGTTGGCTCGGTCTAAAGACCTCCTAAATTTTGAGCAAATTTTAAAAGTATAGAAGTCATTTTCTGTCCTACATTTTAAAAAAATAGCGTTATTAGTTGATAGAATAGGTCTTTAGTTTTAATGTAATAACGAGATATTCTCAAAAAAATTCTTTGTTGTAGAGTTCTATTCTTTTTTAAAACATGTACTTTACTATGCTCGCGAGGAATTTGTCCACTAAGATCATTGCTAAATTTAGACTATTTTTTGATCATCCTTACTAAATTTAGACTAATACTCGACCATCATGTCTAAATTTGGCAGTAAGGAAAATAATTTTTTAACCAAAATCACGTGAAACCCTTTTTTTAAAAAATTTTATTGCATTTTTGAACGAATCACGAAATCGCTATTTTTGAAATTTGTCTGCGTGGCGCAGCAATAGGAGGTCTTTAGACCAAGCCAACCATATTATTTTAGTAAGAGCTTTAGAAACATTTAACCAATAACTTAATTACAATATAAAGAGCTATTGGTTTATTAAACTAAGCCAAAAATTAACTAAAAAAAGGATTAATTTAAAAGAATATCTGATAAATATTGGCATTTTCAATATTTATTAGTAGGCTTTTAGACTATATGATAAAAATATTATTAACTTATCAGTATGCTAATACCTTGATTATTTTTTTAAAGAATAATCAGATTCTGATATTTGCTCATACCCCATTACCCAATTTGGCATCATTTGACCAGTAAAGAGAGAACCAATAGATTATATATAAGCAAAGAAAGATGGGACCACAAAAGAATTTAAATCATGCACAAACATAACAGCTTGATAACTTGATTGACATAGTGGTGCAGTCTTGGATTTCATGCAATTTTTTTATTGTATATTTTAAATATAATTAATCATATGTCTTTAATAAAACAAACATGACTTAGCTATTTAATCACTTTCTTGCATATGATGCCTGCCTACCCAGATCTCTGGAGTTCACAAGAATAAATAAATAGGGAGGGTCAAAAAAAAGATTATAGCTCCCATTGTATAGATAGTTCCTTAAAAATCACAAATAAATCTGATGTTGATCACAGGCGTCAGATTTAATTAAATTTTCCTATCACAAGCATGCAAGACGTACAATTAAGTGCAATTCAGCACTATGGAATTTTTTTCCCACAGGTGAAGCGGACTTAAACATGTTTGAAGGCTTTGGACAAAACTTTCCCTTATTATCCCCTCAGACCAGGCTTGACTGTTACCATATTGGCATTGGTAATGATGAGGATCAGCATTTGTGTGATGATTGCTTTGTGTTATACCTCTCTCACTAAAATAAAGTTGGTGTCTGCAACTCTGCAACTCAGGAGTTTGCAACTTGGGTTGCTGTCTTGTTGGCAGCACGCCTCTCACCAACAACCCTATCCCATTTAAATTACAAGTTCAGTTGGTCAAACAAAAATTAAAGAAAAACATAGTATTTATGGGAATGTTTAATTTGAACAAAACATACCAAAATCTGAACCATTTTATGACTTTTTTCTTATTGGCCATATTGCTGACAAAGATGCATATAATCATGCAATAATTTTAACCTACAGGACAGAGGACTGATTGGACAAAAACCCACCCAGTGCCTTACCCAAAATTATAAATTGGTTAGTATCAGAGAAACAATTTAGGAAAATGATTATACAAACAAACACTATTTTACAACTTTCCTTCTAACATCAAAACCCAAATGCAATTTCAGAGTTACCAACCCTGCTCTGAATTGCAACCTCTTGTGCTTGAAATGAGTTGCAGATTCTTGTTGCTTTGATGTTTACATGGCACTACAATTCATCAACAGAATTGCGACTTGATCACAGAGCCATCCTTACCCTAGAGGTAGATCGTTACAGGCGACTTTTCAGCCAGCATGGCAGCAGCCTTCTCTGGTCTGGGAAGATTAGTGAAGGTGTCATTGACAATTGGTGCAGTCTCGGTAAACCCCAGGGCCATGCGCCCCCCCCCCTAGCATCTGATTGCCTCATCATATC